TGGGAGATATGCCCTGGGGGCTCTTTTCATATAAATTCATTGGATTAATAGTAGAAAACCCCATAAAAAAGTTTTATTTTGCAATATATCTCATACCTATTGGAAATCACAGAAAACCTCCATATTGTTAAATTTGCCGTTAAAAATAGTATCAAAATTAAAAAGCAATAATTGCAATTTTAGTATCCGAAACTTTTTTTCTTTTACAAATTATACACAATTTTTTTTATATATATCACAGACAATCCTAAACCTTTAAAACTTTATTTTTCACCCTAACCCACTTCATCTTCTTCCCAAAACTTTATTATTTTATTTAATCATTTCCAAAATCCTCCTAAATTTCTTACCCCACATTCATCATTTCTCCTTCTCATTCCCAAGATAGGTCCTCGCACACGTGCAACGGTGATCCACACAAGGCATTGTGGACATTTGAATTCATCGAAGGTAAAAACACCGTAATTTGCCTTAAGAATTGCCACAGCTGCTACCTCACGGCTGTGGACAAGTCATTTCTTCTCGGCATGACTAGAAAAGGGGTTCTACAAACTATTTTGGTAACAAAAATGGACACTTCAATTGAATAAGAGCATGTTAAAAAAGGGAATCATATGAAACTAGTGGCGAGGAAGGGGAAATTTTTGAGAGCTAATGAGGGAAGGCTGCCATGGAGGAATTCAGTAACTCGAGATATTTCCTCATAGAATTGCAATTCAAAACTGGATTTTGTAGGGAGTGGATACATGAATATTTCTAATCTTGGGAATGAGAAGAAGAAATGAGAAATTTGGGGTGAGGGATTTATGAGGGTTTTGAAAGGGACTAAATAAAATAATAAAGTTTTGAAGAAGAAAATGAAGCATGGTGGGGTGGAAAATAATGTTTTAAATGTTTGATATTGTGGGTGGTATATACAAAAATTGGGTATAATTTGTAAAAAAATAAGTTTGGATACTAAAATTGTAATTATTACTTTTTAATTTTGACATTTTTACTTTTTTTAACGGCAAATTTGACGTAAGGAGTTTTATGTTGTTTACACGGAATTTTAACTTAACTGCATTGATGGATTAGTTGGTTGACTCGGGTGGTTCTTTAAAATAAATAAAATTCTGACCCCTGGCTTGGAGGTATAAAGGTACTAAAAGGTACCCTTAAATTTAGGGTATCTTGGCACTTTCATTTCTCTTATCTCCAAAAATAGCCTTGTTTAAAAAATGAGCTTCTATTTGGTCCTTATTTTTTAAATTTTATTTTGAGGCACATATTTTATAGGATTCGCAAT